CCCTGCCCCAAAATACCTCAAAACCCATTTATATTTCATCCCTGGCCACTGTCCAAACAAGCCCCAAAACCCTCTTCATACTCCTGCCTCCAAACTTGCCTACACCCATGCCTATAATTCCTCCACAAACTGCCCTAACCATCCTCACGCCTACCCCTACACCCCCACTTGAAAAACCATCTAAAACCATGCCTTTACCCCTCCTGACCACTGCCCATCACACCCCCAACTCTGGTCCGACGCCCTCACCCCAATCCGTTCCCAACGTCATGTCTTTAAACCAACCACAGGCCCCCAAGAGTACCCTTGAAGAGTCATCTGACCTGATTACTAGGTATTTCCAGGTCTACACAATCTGAGGAATCAGTCCAGTTTAAAACACCATAAAATTTATCCAGTTTGCCATGGCATTTCTAGAGATATTAAGGTTTAACACGAAGGCAATGGCAGAAAGCAATAAAGATCAAGCTTGGCCTAGGAAGTGCAGCATTATAAATGACCATAATGACAAAAATAATTAATACAAAAGACTACCACAAAAAAGAATGAAATAAAGAGAAAGCATGATGAGGAGGTAACACATATGTGTAAATGTAAGAGAAATGGCCTTCTTCAGGTTGAGTTATTGCATGTTTTGGGTTAAAAATCAAGACCACTGTTACAATAATAGCCAATTGGATCTGGATTAATAATGCAAAAACGCATCTGCTTTTCTTTTTTGGGGAAAAAAGGAGATTGCTAGATTTCAATTGATTGCATGGAAATAGTCAAATAAAAAAACAAAAAAGAAACCTCCACCAGAATTAAAATACTTTCAAAATGGCAATGTGAAATAACAGATCTCAAAATGGCAATGAGAAGTAATCTCACCATAGACATGTGATAACTGAATTCATTTTTACCATTACTTCTGGTTATGAATAAAGGAAGACATTGCATCAACAAGCTCTCCTAGATTGTGTGGAGGGATATTTGTGGTCATGCACACATGAAAGCATAAAGAATGAAAACAATCGCATGACAAAGGGATACGTAAACTGGTATAGAAATGCATAGTAGATAAAATAATTTAACTATTTTCTAGGTCGGACCGATTACCTCAATTCCAGAGGCATCATTCAGGACCAGATTCGGGATTCTAGCAGGGGGTAGAGATGGCTCTTTTTGTGATTTGTCAAAATTTGGGACAAAATTAACCTGTAAATCATCATACCATAAGTGACTAACTCAGAAGTAAGAAACTTATAATTAACATGTAATGTAGATGACATACTGCATTTTGATCTATGTCTCAGAGCGGCATTACCTTCGTAAGTGCCTGAAAATGAAACAATTTATTAGCATCGTCAGCAACGAAAACCATGGGTTTACAGTTTACCAACCAGTAAACATGCCCTTTTGAAATGAATTCGTTATTTGATTTAATATGGATATCAGAATAAGAATATAAAACTTACAAAAGATAATGAGTATTGGGAAAAGTGGCTTTATCCATCAGCATAAAGCATAAATGGCCATTAACATTAATTTTAACAAAATATTACATGTGTTCTTGTTTCATTCCCCTCCCTCTCTTCAGGAAGCAGCCATTGTGATACCAAGACGAAGCACGTCCCGTATAGACCTCAGGGATCCAAAAGTTATTATGTACCTGAAATTAGGGGTCAAGCTACGTACATCCAACCCTCCGCCCAGCCATGAGCGGGAGCCTTTGACCACTGGGGTAATGTTGTTTTTGTTGTATGTAAACTGCAATGAAACAAACAAAGTGGGAGAGAGGAAGTTGTTTGCCACTAGGATTCAAATTCTGGAGAGCAAAATTAAGAATTGATTATACTCACTATATAAGAAAAATACAGCACCAACTGATTTTAGCTAATTGTAAGAATCTGAATCCTGGAATAAGCAGAAAAATAGAAACCGGATGAGCTTTTTTATGAAAGAATGCAAGTGATAAACCTTTTTTGCTCATAGCATAATCTTTTTCACATTTCATGCAATAAGATTGTGTCGGCCAATGGAGAAAAAATCTTACCCAATCATGTGGAGCCTGAAACTAGACTGCAGAGCAGTATGACAATAGAGATTGTTCAATGCAATAGATGAATCTGATCCACAATTAAGTTGGAAAATATTAGAGGGAAGGAATAATATCATCATGACATCTTACGACCCAAACATGGAAATTGATTCATTCTACATAAATTCAACTAGTACCCCAATGACAACGCGCATTCCTGATCATCGCTCCCATCTCGAATATCATTTATCCCTTCCAAACTCTGTGAGAAAAAAGTTAGGGAAATTTACAAACAATTGTAACATTCCATAATCATATACAAATAAGTGATTGAGCAAAGTCGAGAAATCTCAGAGATTACTAAGACAATTAGCCGAACATCACAAAAGTTAAGAATAAAAAATCAGGAGATATGGAAACAAGATTATTATTTATTATATAAAAAATAAGGATACAAGAATAATCAACTCTGATCCATCCAAAACCAGAAAATTACCCAATAAAAATAGTAAATAAATCGGTCAAAGGCAATGGATCACTGATCAGCTTAATCAGATCAATTATGGCTGAAACGATATTTTCTAATGATAGTATTTTAATTCATAAACAGACACATGACACTCGAGTTTTGAGGGAAAAAATGTATAATGATTATAATTTGAAATGAGAACAAAAATATTTAATTAAGTAAACATTGGATTCAATTACTTAGTGAGATGGAAAACTAGATTTAGCAATAAGGCCAATAACATCATAAAATTAGATGACATTGTTGTTTACGACTAAACATTGAAAACCCAAACAGATCCAATCATCCAAACTAAAAGTCACCCGGTTTAACCCAATTTTCAACCAGTTCAATCGGTTCAAAACCACCTCCCCATACCTGTGTTAAGGGCTCAACAGACCTGATCACTAGGTATTTCTAGGTCTGCACAATCTGAGGAATCAGTCCAGTTTAAAACACCATAAAATTTATCCAGTTTGCCATGGCATTTCTAGAGATATTAAGGTTTAACACGAAGGCAATGGCAGAAAGCAATAAAGATCAAGCTTGGCCTAGGAAGTGCAGCATTATCAATGACCATAATGACAAAAATAATTAATACAAAAGACTATCACAAAAAAGAATGAAATAAAGAGAAAGCATGATGAGGAGGTAACACATATGTGTCAATGTAGGATAAATGGTCTTCTTCAGGTTGAGTTATTGCATGTTTTGGGTTAAAAATCAAGACCACTGTTACAATACTAGNCATCCAAACTAAAAGTCACCCGGTTTAACCCAATTTTCAACCAGTTCAATCGGTTCAAAACCACCTCCCCATACCTGTGTTAAGGGCTCAACAGACCTGATCACTAGGTATTTCTAGGTCTGCACAATCTGAGGAATCAGTCCAGTTTAAAACACCATAAAATTTATCCAGTTTGCCATGGCATTTCTAGAGATATTAAGGTTTAACACGAAGGCAATGGCAGAAAGCAATAAAGATCAAGCTTGGCCTAGGAAGTGCAGCATTATCAATGACCATAATGACAAAAATAATTAATACAAAAGACTATCACAAAAAAGAATGAAATAAAGAGAAAGCATGATGAGGAGGTAACACATATGTGTCAATGTAGGATAAATGGTCTTCTTCAGGTTGAGTTATTGCATGTTTTGGGTTAAAAATCAAGACCACTGTTACAATACTAGCCAGTTGGATCTGGATTAATAATGCAAAAACACATCTGCTTTTCTTTTTTGGGGAAAAAATGAGACTGCTAGATTGCAATTGATTGCATGGAAATAGTCAAATAGAAAAACAAAAAAGGAACCTCCATCAGAATTAAAATACTTTCAAAATGGCAATGTGAAATAACAGATCTCAAAATGGCAATGAGAAGTAATCTCACCATAGCAATGTGAAATAACTGAATTCATTTTTACAGTTTCTTCTGGTTATGAATATAGGAAGACATTGCATCAACAAGCTCTCCTAGATTGTGTGGAGGGATATTTGTGGCCATGCACACCTGAAAGCATACAGAAAGGAACAATCGCATGACAAAGGGATGCGTAAACTGGTATAAAAATGCATAGTAGATAAAATCATTTAACTATTTTCTAGGTCAGACTCGAACAACTACCCTGACCTACTTCGGAAGCCAACACGCCGGAAAAGTTATTTGATAATCTCTCATCTATTAAAACCTGACTCTCTAATTTGTGTGGGCCCTGCATATGTGAAACATGCTTGAATGACGAGGAACCCACATTAGTACTATTAATATTTGGGCTTTGGCCCTCCGAACTGATCAACACGGTTGCCTAATCATGGACCACTTCAGTCCTCTGTTGTAATCATCACTATAGTTTTAACTTTTAAGACTCTGTAATCAGTCCATGGGACTGACAATGCTGAAGTTGAAGGTTTTTAAGGGGGTCCAAGATTGTTTTTATTGAGAAACTGAGAAGGGATATCACAACTTCCAATTCGGTTTCGCACAAACAATGCTAAAGTTAGTGTTATTACCCTTAGTCCTGAATATACCAGGGAAATGGGGAATTAAAAATGATCAAGAAAGATGAAAAATGGAAATCTTATTGTTCGGGAATCTTATTGTTCGCACAAACAATGCTAATGTTAGTGTTATTACCCTTAGTCCAGCATTACCAGGGAAATGGGGAATCAACAATTATCAAGATTCAAGAAAAATGGAAAACAGAAATCTTATTGTTCTGGAATCACGTGCAACAAGAAAGTATGAAAACTTTTCAAAAGTGTAGAATGTGCAAACCATCTACAAGGCTTTTTGAAACCAAACTTGTAGCAGAGTACAAGGCATTCGTATTCATCATCCCAGAACTGCTCGATTGCGTAGCTACAAAACCGGCGTTCCCGATGCCAGGACACGCCATAGTGGGAACGGCATAAATTCACATCTTCGCCTGAAAGTAAAGCACGCCGACAGGTACGTGAACCAACTGATCGGAATTCGTGGCTAGCAGAGTACGACAAGATGTGGGAAAACCGTGAGGACGAACAGGTGTATGCCAAGAGAAACCCTATCCTGGATTGCATTTCTTATGCACACGACGGCTATTACAGCTAAGAATTTTGTCAGAGGAGAATTTTATGGGGGCATTTCCCCATCAGTGCAACTTTTAAAAAAGCATTCCCAAGCATTTCCCCATCAGTACATAACGGTAGACACTTTACCGTTCGAATTTTTATGTTTTTCTACTTCATGCTTTGCTTTTGATTTTCTAATTTTAATGCTTTGGATTATTTAAATGTTTTTTATTTATATTTTGTACATTATTTGTTTATACTTTATTTGTTTTTGTACTTAATTTGATGTTATTCAGTTTCTAATTTTTATATTTTGGATTATTTAAATGTTTTTTATTTATATTTTGTACATTATTCTTTTATACTTTATTTGTTTTTAATGGATAATTTTTTAGAGATAAATGATATTAAAATTCAACAATATTACTTATTTGATTGATACATAAAATTATTACTCCATTCGTCCCCTTTTATAATGCCTATTTCAGTTTACGATGTTTGACTGAAATTATTTTCAAATCATTTTATATGACAAATGGTATATAGTTAAAAAATAAAAATTACATAAAAGAATAGATTCTTCCAACCGTTTCTAGCTCCTTTCAATTTCTTATAACATCTAACTTTGAAATTCTAACCGAAAAAAAATACAAAGTGTAAGGTAAAATTTATTAGGTGTGGAATCTCCTATTTAGTGCAAATTTCACTTTTATCAAATAACTAACGAAAATAGATAAATAAAGTGATTTAAGTTTGACCATGTGAATAGTAACTAGGAATACGGAGTATAATTTTAGGATAAGTAAATCCTTGACTAAAATAAAGGATAAATAAAGTGATTTAAATTTGTAACATTTATTTATTTAGATTATGATTAATTTATGGTCAAATAGTATCGCTATATGACAAAAAAAGGTCAAACAATGAGGATTTATAGGTTATCCATATCTTTTAGAAGATGAAATAAGATAGATGTTACCTCTCTATCAAAGAATAAATATGCAATATAAATTCAGGGTAATTGGAGTTCAAAGTTTGTCCAGTTTGACTCGAAAAAGTCAAATTGGACAAATACACTGGGACAGAAGTAGTATATCAAGACATCTACAAAACTAGAGGTGACATAATTATATTATTTTATCATAACAGAAATAGAGTAATAGACTAACAAAGTGAATAAAGTTACTTTGTGAATAGTGAACGGGAAGTTTTGGACGGAGGAAGTATAGTTTTGTCACCACTAGTATTGTACTTCGTACGTCCTAAAAGTATCTTCCCAATTACTATTCATATAGTGAAACGTAAATCGTTTTGTTTATATATTTTTGTTAGTTATTTTGATAAAATAATATAATCTTGTCAGTTCTTGTTTTATAAAACTTTTAATGTAGTTTGTAAATATATAATTTTATAAAAAATTTTACATATACAATTAAATAAATTGAATTTAAAATAAAGTCGGTCAAACCTCGTAAACACAAACGGGAAGATAATTTTAGGACGGAGGGAGTATAAATTTTTGTATACGTTTTTACTATATAAATTTTATTTTTAAATTTTATCCATATAATTAAAAAAAATTAAACTAAAAATAAAATTGATTAAACATCATAATGCATAATTGAGAAAGTTTTAGTGGGTGGAGGAATTAAGTAAAAATTGGGGAGAATATTCGTTAGTGGTACATGGGTACCATTTGAACAATTTTTTAGATTGACACAATTCTACATCTCTTTGGCCAGAACTAATATCTAATTATCTACTGTTAACTTTTGGAAGCAGCACTGAATGGGAATTGTTTTTCAAACGCTGCACTGTCCGGGAATTAATTCAATTTTATGAAGGATGCAAGTAGGGGTGGGTGGCCACTAGACCTGGCAAAACTGACCCGGACTCGATAACCCGAACCAAATAATCCGGAATCGAACCTGATTTGACCCGAAAACTGAAGAACCGAAATAGAACCGAACACCCGAAATGATCCGAACCGAACCGAATCCGAACCGAATGTATTCAGACCCGATTCAGACCCGAATCCGATTAAACCCGAACCGATTAAACCCGAACCGATTAAACCCGAACCCGATTAAACCCGAACCCGGATAAACCCGGAACCGATTAGACCCGGAACCGATTAGACCCGAAACCGATTAGACCCGAAATTGATCAAATTCATTAATATTTCATTTATCAAATGAATTTGGAAAAAAAGAATTACCTATATATTTTTACATATGTTGATATGTTTCTAAAAAAAACATATTTAAATTATGAGTGCAAACCATGTAACTACTTTAATTTCATGTACAAATCTTTTATTTTGTACTCCGTATTTTATAACCTAAGTTAAAATATATTTGTATTTTTATAGAAAGTATATAAAAATTATAGTTACATTGTAATGCATATTTTATGTAAAGAACTATGTTACCAAAGTTGATTTTCTTTTTTTAATATGCCAATTAACACACTATAAAAAATACTTGAGCATAAAAATGAAGAAAGGTGTCACAATCATGTGGTAAAAACTTATGATTATGTAAATGAATAAAACAAGCTAACTGACATTACCTAGTATAAGCTAAATAAAAGATTTCTTCTCCAAAAATTATGAATGAGTAAAAAAATATTGAACCATCTTAAAGAGCTTTTTTAAAACACAAATCTTGATTTTCGTGGATACACTATCCAACAAACAAAATACAGCATTCTAATGTCATAAATTAACTAGATTTGTTATGTGATATTATTCATTTATTAGTTATGTGATATTTGAACTAATATAAATTTAAACCGATATAAACTCAAATCAATACAAAGCCGAACTAATACAAACCCAAACCGATACAAACCCGAACCGATACAAACCCGAACCGATACAGACCCGAACCGATATAAACCCGAACCGAAACCGAAAACCAGTCAAACCGAAATAAACCCGGAACCGAACTGACCCGACTCGAACCGACCCGAACCGATTATAACATATATCCGAAAGAGACTCGAACCAAAAAGACCCGACCCGGACCCGAACCGATTGACCCGATTGCCAGGTCTAGTGGCCACTGGCCACCGGCTGATTCGGCCAATGTTTATATAGGGTATACGAAAGTTATACTTCATCCCCATTTGTAACTCACTTCCTTTTCCACCATATATTTTTATTTCGTTTTTGATTATTTATTTATTTTTAAGTTTTTTACCTTTTAAGGATAGTTTATGTATTTTATTTTTAAAAGTTTACAAAAACAACTGACAGGTAACTTATTTTGGGACGGAGAAAAAAAGGCAAACATGCAATTTAAAATGGGAGAGAAGGAGTATATATTTTTTTTTGAAAACATTTTTTATAGTTTATGCTCCGTAATAAAAATTACATGTTTCATATACTCCCTCCGTCCCCAATTTGATTACAAATTGGAGTTTACGGATATAAATATCTCACTTTTTAAAATCATTTTATTTATAAATCGTTATATATCGATAAAAAATAAAAAATTACATTTTACTAAAAAACTAGATCAAAAGTTCTACAAAACAAAAGGTGACAAGAATATTTTATTTTATCAAATACCTAATGAAATCGCATAAATATATCAAAATTATCGAGATGAGAGAAAAATTATAATTAAATTGGGGACGAGGGAGTACTTTGTATTGGAAATGTTTCTAAAAGGAGATTTTAGGTGAACTTAAGGTCCACATCAACCTACGGGCATATGTAGCATATAAGAGCTGGGGCCAATACCCCCTACTAATTTTTTGTAGTAAACTAAAAAAAATATTTTGATTTACTATATGTATATGTCCCTACTTTTACTTTTATTATGTCCATTTTTTAATACTCCGTAGTAATAAGTTACTCTTGCTTTTATTGGTCTAATTTTTAAAATTATTTTCTTCATTCTAAAGAGTTTGTCAATTTTTGAACTTTCAAAAAAACAGAGTGAATATTTATTTTTCCCAAATTTAATTGGGTTTTTCAACCAATACCAAATATTACAATCGGTATAAATATGATTGTCCACCTTTTTAGAAAAACCCAAATTTATGAAAATATGGTAGAACATTACTCTCTTTAAAACTAGTTTGTTCTTTGAACAATGATGATGCCAGTTTAGAGCAGAAGTATGATACTCCCTCCACCCCTTTCAAATTATCCCATTTCAATTTACTATGTTTGAGTCAAATTATTTTGAATTCAACTCATTTAAATATTAATCTAAAATATAAAAATTACAATCTATGCAGTTAGTTGGTCACCCGCAGGAAAGAAGTCATTGCCATCCCAAGAGCAAGTTGAAGATTGAGAGAAAGAAGATGATTTGTAGTGATCAGAATAGTGAACTTGAAGAGAAAAAACGAATTAAACGGAGGCTAATATCCAAAACATTATATGGGAAGAAATGGCGATTAGAAACCAGGCTATGAATGCCAAGACAGCTGCGAGCTCATATCTGACACACGGGAGTTGGGATGGATCGTTGCAGAACTTCAAAATCTCTAGAGTATAAAACCAGTATCCCCAACGAGGAGCAAGCAGCTACAAGTGATAATGTTGATGTCACCTGTACAGACCCAAATCAACAACGCACTCACTCAATATGGGGTTTATTTAGCCAAAAAAACGTTAGGGTAACCCCACAATTTTGACACCACCATTGACCCCGCACAGGCGATAAGACAGATATTGTTTGTGCATAGCATGAGGTTAATGGTGGTGTCAAAATTTGGGGGTTACCCTAGAACAACTCTTTATTTAGCTAGCAATGGTCAAGCTAATATAATGTCAAGAACCAATTGATACATACCCAATCCCCCACAAAAAAGAGGCTGACCAAGACTGGACTACAGATGTCTCTCTTTGTGGTCAAAGCATATATGTCAAGACATGCAAGCCCAAAGCTCCACAGCACTTGAAGACCCATCGATGCGATCAAATAGCTGAAAAAATAGACAATTTCTTTTAGTTACCTTGAGCAAAAACGGATGGCAGATGAGGAGAGTAAATAAAAGAACCTATTGAATATGTTGTGAAGAGATCCTATGTGCACAATAATAGTTTTTTTCTTCCTATTTCACCGGGAGGAAGTGGCATATAACACATGAAGAGGTATACCGGATTGATTATTTATGGACACGATTTCATAATGCAAGCTATAAATATTAGGTGATCTTTGCACTCTTAAGGCTTGGAGGCCTTAGCAAAATGTACCGCCGCAAGGAGGGAGATCATTGACTAATCAATAGAGTTTACTGAGCCACTGACCTCATGAAATTTTTATATGGAATTATAGTAAAATACAATCATGGAAGCAGGCAAGAGATAAGACTGTTCAAAGTCTCAATAGGTTCTGTATAGCCCTTTACCATAAGAATGATGAAGGCACCAGAAAAAAATAATTTATATTGACAAAAATGATATCAAGTGAATTTGTCCTCCAGAGAAAGACATTACAGGCCAATTTATATATTGACTATTGAGTATGAATGAACTACCCTTCACACTTCTCACATCTTACTAAATTAAGCTTTTGAGTGATTGATCAATAGTCACACATGTTTGATTAATGCTAAATTATACTCCGCCCGTCAAAAAATAATGTTCATGACCAATAAAAGCTTAATTTAAGTTAGGGAGTAAAAAGAAAAAAACACAGAGGCTCAGACGCTTAGTGCTATGGAGAATCGAACACGCAATCCGTCACAAGTAAACTTGCGGGTGACCACTGCAGCACAAACACCATGTATCAGATAATGCTTTTCGCTCATTTTATATCATCACTACACCATATATATTACGCACCCTCACTCTACCACGTTCGATATTGTTGTCTGACTCTGATAGTGTAACGGATTGACCCGATGCAACATGGTAAGCAATACACCCCCTGGAAAAACACCATCACCCTTCATTCTCTCTTTCATCCCATGTGCAGGAAGATTTGCATTCACGTACGCTTTAACAAGCGTCTGGTACAGCCAATAAACTGACAAAAACCCTCCTTTTCTCATTTTCAGGAACATCTCCTCGCAGCTATGGACGTCCCCCTTTTTAGCATATTCCTCAATGATTGCAATGTAAGAGGTCAGCAGTGGCTTCATGCCTTTCTGTTTGGATGCCATTGCCAATATGCCTTCAGCTTTTTTCAGTTCTCCGGCCACAATGTAAAGCTTCACAAGTGAGTTCCAAGTCGATGCGCCTATGTGGCAACCGTTCTTCCTCATCCGCATCACCAGGTCCTTCCCCTTGGCCAACATCTCATTATGGGCTTACACATTTAACAGAGAAGAATATTTCTTTGAGGACATGTTTGGGTATTTGCTTGTCATTATTTCAAACACTTCTTCTGCCTTCTCAATGTTCTTCAGCCTTCCCCATGCTCCGATGGCAGCAGCGCATTGTTCTAAGCGTGGGTTAGACTCACATAGTTTCCAAATCCTGCTGACCTCATCCTCCTTCCCAAGGATAGCGTACAGCGGTAGCAAATTGGTAAAAGCCCAAGACTTTTCTCCCTCTGGGTCACTTTCCATATCTTTCATCATAGCCTCGCCTTTCTCATTGAGACCACAACGGATATAGATCCTCGCAATGAGGCATTTGGTACTAACATCAGGCTCTACTCCATCGTTCTTCATTGTCTCAATAACTTCTTCCATTCCAGCTATGTCATCACACTGCCCCTTAACAAGTATCAAGATTCTATAAGTGAATAGGTTTGGTTTCACATTTTCTTTTTCCATCAGTGAAAGGACATTAGCGATCTTCTTTCTGTCTGTCCTCTTGTATAGAAGGAGAAGCTGGTTGCAAGTGAAGCATGAAATTGGGAGCCGGAGGTCGGTCATTTTCTTGAACACCTCTTCTGATTTCCTCATGTTGAATGTAGAAACACAATTTGCCAAGAGAGCCTGATAAACTCTTTCGTTTCTGAATGATTCTGCAATTTTCTCTATACGAGCTTCTGCTACTTGTAGACCATGGACTTTAGCGATTAAATCAACTTGACCGCTGTAATCCAATTCTGTGAACTCAATATGGTTTGATGATTCCAACCACTCAGATACCTGTCAATAAGAAATACTCAGATAGTGAAAAGGCCAAAGAGCTTGACATTTATCATGTGACTCAAGAAAAAGGAGATTCATCAATGTTAAATATATACTCCCTCCGTTCCACAAAACCCTTCCTCTTTCGTTTTTTTTGCTTTCCACAAAACACTTCCACTTTCTATTAAAAAACCACTTTTACCCCTACTTTTTCATACCCTACCTATCACATCATACTTTTTCACTAATAACCAAACTATCACATCTTACTTTTTCCCATCACATCAGGGGCAAAATTGGAAAGTCAACCAAAATTACACTTTCCTTATTTTTGCCAAAAATCAAAACTGGAAGTGTTTAAAGGAACGGAGGGAGTACTCCCTATGTCCACCAAAGAGGGGGAAAACGGTAATGTTCTGCTTCCTGGATGTTGACCCAAACTAATTTTGAGTAAAATCTTTCATATATGTCTATATATATATATATATATATATATATATATATATATATATATATATATATATATACATACATATATATATATATATATATATATATACTACCTCCGTCCCGGCGTCCCATTGTCTTTGTCCAGTTTTGACTTTTGGAACTGTTCATCTAAGCACTTTGACTCATCAAATTCTCTCAATGTGTAAGCCTAAAAATAGTCATATGTGATCTTGTTTGATTCGTCTTAACATATAGATTATTAATATATAATTTTTATAATTTTTTAAAATACAAATTACAAGATAAAATGGATTAAAGAAGTGCATTGGATGGTGTGCCAAAAGGTAAGTGAACAAAGACAATGGGAAAGAGGGAGTATATATATATATATATATATATATATATATGGTTGGTTCCGGTAGAATATCCATACTGCTAGAATATGAGAATGATGCATTTTCGGACCGCCGTGATGCATTTTACATTTGTAGTAGTGCATTTTTAAAAAGTTCAATTCATTTACAAAATTACCACCACAACTTTTTCAAAATGCTCAGGTTTTTTTGTTTTTAATAACCCTTAGATCTTAAATCTAATGGATCATAATCATTTTAATTTCTTTCACTGTCCACCATCCTCATTTGAACCAAAATCAATATATATAGGGGTTGGTTCACGTGAGAATATCCTTACTGTGAAAATATGATAATGGTGCATTTTCAGACCGTCGTGATGCATTTTACACTTGACACCGCGGTTTTTTAAATTTTTACAGTTTTTTTATTTTTAATGGCGCTCAACCTAATGGATCATATGCGTTCTCATTTTTTCACTCTGCACCATTCTCATTTGAAGCAAATTCTATATACATATACACACACACAGATATATATACACGCATATACATACATACATACATACATATATATATATATATATATATATATACATGCATGTACATGTGGTTGTGTGTGCACACACACACACACATTCCCTTCGTTTCTCGCTTAGTTTATGAATAGTGGATGGGAAACTTTATTTTGGGATGGATGATGTGTGTGTGTGTGTGTCTATACATACATACATATATGTGTGTGTGTGTGTTTGTATGTGTGTGTGTATTAAACAAAGCCAAAAATTTAATGGTGTTGACAAATTGAATACTACGTAGTAGAAAAGTGCAAGTGAAGATTCTGCCAGGACAGATATAGCAATTATACTTTAAAAAAATTGAATCATGCATTAAAAAAAATCGACCTCACATGCAAGTGTGCCAAGAGCAACAAATAATAGTTAAGGTGATACGTGAAGACTGATGCCGCCAAGGCTTTAGCAGAAATGGATTTTTTTATTAAAAAAAAAAAGTGAACATAGCACACAGAATCAACCTCCGGAGCCAAGCTGCAAAACATAGCATTAAAAGAACAAAGATTACCTTCAATGCCTTGGCATACAGTTTCCGCTGACGAAGATAACGTAGGACCATGTGTATGTCTGCCCGGGTCAACGCATTTCCTTCTTCAACCCATTTATCCATGACATGGCAAACAGAATTTCGTGATGCAACCAAAAGAGCCTTACATAATTCTGGTGAAGACATTTGTCCTTGTATTGTCCCCCCTATACGAGTCGCGGTATCGGATAAGCCGACTTCACCCTGTTGTCCTTCCAAGTCTTCATCACATTTTTCTGACTCAGATTCTAACTCACTTTCATTGCCTACATTACCTTCTTGGATTGAACCAGATGTTTTAAAAGAATTAAGCTCAGAAAACTCATCCAACACATCATCATTCTCTCTGCTGCTCTTTGTGCCAGCAAGTGCAGAGAAACTCAAGCTTCCCTTGAATGGTGATGGGGGATCACAAGTCATCTTATGAAATGTTGTCACAGACAGATCTCTTTTAGCAGTCCCATTACCTCCAATGACATAGCCTTCAAAGCAATAGCTTGATAACTCTGCCGTAGTAAAGCAAACTTGGGCTGTAATGTCGTTTAATCCTTGTTTCCTGGAAGAGTAATCAATGTAATCATCTTATTTCCCATAATACCTCCAAGTTAGACTAGCTTCTACTTGATAAAGTGTAAATAATAAATAGTGTAGGACGTACTCATCCCAAAAAAGAATCCTACTTCACAAAGGTAAAATTTCCATCATTTCCAGTGGAGCCAAAGATCAACTATTTTCTTTTTTTTTTTTTTTGTGCTTTGGGGCAGGATGGAATAAAGCAAAATGGCTCTTTAAGCCGTCCGCACTTCTTTTATACTAAAGTAGTTACTCAATGCATCTTTCAACACCCATCATGAGTCATTTGGAAACACCCGTTCTATGTTTTAAACAGGGACATCACGCTATGTACAACTAACCCCCCTTACCCCGCAATGGGCAACACCCATCATGAGTCATTTGGAAACACCCATTCTATGTTTTAAACAGGGACATCACGCTATGTACAACTAACCCCCCTTACCCTGCAATGGGCAAGAGACTTTGAGGAACTGGGGTAATGTTGTTGTTGTACTTCACCAAGGTAAAAGAGTTTTAGTAAGGCATGTCTATTCAAAGCATCAATTCTAGATGTGTTATTAAATATATGTGTTGGTTTACTTAAATTTTACATATTTAATTTGATTGTAACATTTTGTAATAAATACATCAAGTAATGTGATAGTCCCTCCGTCCCAAAATGTTTGCCACATTTGATTTTTCAGTCGCGGGAACTTTTGTTTATTTGTACGTTTTTATTGATTATTTGATAAAATAAAATATTCTTGACACCTCTTATTTCGAAAAATTTTTCATGTAGTTTTTAAATATGTAAATTTTATTTTTTATTTCTATACTAATATTTAAATAAAATCAATTGATTTTTTTTATTTAACATTGTTTTTTGAAATGTGGTAAACATTTAGAGACAGAGGGAGTATTCATGCAATTTGCCTTATTCTGAGTTGGATTAATTTTAATCATTAATTACGTTACATATGCATTGCATCTTAATACAATGAGATAAATTTTTAATACAGCTTCCTGCAAGATAAATATAATCAACTTTTTTTACTAATATCTAATACAATTTTTATTTAATGGATGATCAAAATTTATCTAATCTGACTTAAAAAAGTCAATATGGATGAATACTCTAGAGGTAGTACTATATTAGATTTTTTTGTTATAATATATGGAGTAGTAATATTTATCACTTTATTTAATGCATTCATTAAAAAATGTTACAAACATTCAATGACCGTGTTTTGGATTCTTTTGTAACAATCACTATATTATACTCCCTCCGGGCTCCGTCCCAAGTACTCTTTCTCATTTCTTTTTGTTTTGTGTCCCACGACCCATTTCTCCTTTCTATCATACCTATGACATCATATCTATTCACGAATAATCTACTCATCACATCCAACTTTTACACATCACATTAAGGGTAGTTTGGGAAAGTCAACAAAAAATATCTCTTCCTTAAATCTCATAAAAATCAAAACAAGGACTTTGTGGGACGGAGGAAGTATTAGATTTTTTTGTTTCTGACCATTGCTAATTGAGCTAAAAGAGTCATCATTGACAATGTTTAGGTTTCTGGCACAGAATGGACTATATAACAAAGGCACTGTAAACTTCATTTACTTCTTACTCTATGAAATCTTGGGCAGTAAATGCAGGTTGCAACAATGCATCTCAGATCTAACAGAAACAAGCTCTCTCTTTTAACATGAGTAAGACTACATACATCTTGACACCCCAGAGGCCCAGACCCCAGCAGAATTGGGATTATACTGGGTTGTTGTTAGATTCTTTTGTTTAAACAGATCTCTTTTTTGGGGAATTTTATCCGTCCGAAAGTTAAACTAACTATCGGGTTAGGGCCTAGAAAAAATCTTTATTCAATCTAGTATCAGAAAGATTATAAACTAATGAGTGATGATCTAGGAGCTCAACTTTTAACACCCTCAAATTATTATTTATTACGGATTACGATGTCGACGCTCATAGAAATTGAAATTTTATTTCCGAAAAATATATGCCACCCAACTGGGACTACCACTCTGCCTCACCACTATCTCTTACAGTCTTACTACTCATCCTCTGCAAGCTGCAACTCCAACTCTCGAGTAAACAAACACCCACCTTAACTTCACTTTTGTAGTGATCCAATGTTATTGCCAGCTCGTTATCTCCGGGGAACAGAGCAAGGACAACAAGCTCATTAAAGCTCTTTGATTCACCATTTTAAAAGTGTATTTTTAGGAAAATTGGCAATTTGTATTTAGTGGTTATTTTCGACATGCAGATTGAGGAAAACTTGATGGGTTGTTGAATCTTTAGTGATTAGGTGAATGTCTTTTTGGTATTGTATTTATTAATACTCATTGATGAAATATTATTGCTCTTTTGTGTTTATCTATTTTTCCTATTTAAACGTAGTGCTAAGTTCAAAATTTGGCGTAACCGCGTAAGCCATAGAATTCAAGAATAGCATTTTCTAGATACCCTTTTAGCCATTGAACTGATGCAATGATCATCTTATACATATTCCCTAATTGACTCCAGTAGACTTAAAAATTCAAAAATAGAGCATTACAAAAACACTAGTCTCTATAATGATGAACTTTGCAGAAATTCTAAAGGAAGAAAATAAGTGTCTGTGAAGAAGTCACAAATAGCGCAAGAGGAGGACGAACTATCAACAGTCAATAGGGGGCTGCAGATTTCTTCTGAAGGAAGAAGATGAACAGTGAATATGCTAAAGCAGGTTCTTCATAATGTAGTCCATATTAATTTAGGTAATTAATGATAATAAAGTGATGGTGCTTAACTTTGGGTCCTTGGTTGTTAGTTTATACAAGCCTCCGATTGACAAAAAATTCATTTAGGGCCTAATTTAATAGTTAGCATAACGTCCCAGGGTTGGACCAATAAAATTCCTTTATTTTGGCACAAGAAAATGCTTTCAAAAAGGATTCTTTTTTTGGAGGCATAGAAGTACTGCCATTGGGGCAGAGTGTTGGATGATGTAAAAAAACACACATGAAAAAGTTCAAGTTGGCAGAGATGAGAATGTCGAAGGCTTTAAGGTGGATGTGTGGTCATAGTGTCATACAAGGATAGATAAAATTTAAAATGAAAGTATCTGGGGTAAGGTGGGGTGGTATCTATTGAGGGTAAGGTAAGATAAAAGAGGCTACATTGAGATGCTTTAGCTTCATGATATGGTGGAATACCAATGATCCTCTGCAGAGGTGTGAGATGCTAGGGGTAGGAAACTTAAAGAGGGTAAAGGTAGACCGAAGAAGAGTTTGAGCACAGTGATTAGATGGGACTTGCACCTTAAGAAGTTCCATGAGGACATGACGATAGATTGGAGAATTTGGCAATTGATGATTACAGTTGTAGAGTGTGCTTAGATACAGCTTGTCATGTGTGGGGCTTTCAGGTTAAGATAGATATAGGTAGAGGTTTGTCTGTTTTACTTTTATCTATTTTTAGAGTTTTGCCTGGTTTGCCCTTATCTACTTTGACCTATCATTTCTCTTTTGGGTTTCCCTTTGTTTGTACTGTACTCACATTTGTCTTTTCTAAATTTTTGTTTCAAAAATAGCTCCTCTACCTTTTCAACATAGGAGTAAACTTGTATAAACCCACCTCCAAACTCCATTCATGGGATTTCACTAGGTCAGTTGTTGTTTTTTAGAAGTACTCATGCTTACATTCAGATGGTGAAGTTGATAAAGCGATTTCAACTTCATGCTAGTCTTCAATGGCTCAAAACATGTCACTCCAGATTCACTGATTCCTTGATTAACTATTTAACGAACAATCAACCAAGTTCTTAGAGATATTAAGAAGATGAAATCGCACACTTTGTCCCTTAATTGCTTCATAATAAGTAATATGGGATTGTGGTTCACGTTTTTCAATTTAGTCATCCAATTGATAGTTGAGATATAATTAGTCCATCTAGCTAAATCATGATTTATAATTAGGATATATTAGGGAATTCACGATTCTAGACTGAGTCGGATAAATTTAACAGTGTATGAGGTAATATTTACGGAAAGGAGTAATTGTATTTATATTATAACAAATGAGGAACTATACTTACAGCAATTGAATGACACATCCTGTTTTACATAATGCCAAGGAAGTAGGGAACTAAAAGTGCAATTTTTTCAATTATGTATAAAGTTTTTCTTATTTTATGAGAAGGCCGCATCTAAATTTGAGCACCCTTAGAAACACCACATCATTTTGGAGTAAGAAAAGATTCTAAATGCAACCTACAAGCAATTTGCACAACGTGAAAAATAATCAAATACGGAGTTTATTGTAATCTGATAGCGCTAGAATTTTAATATTACTTGTTTATTAAAAAGTAAAAACTTCAAAGAATTTAAGTTATTTTCAGCAACTTTGGGTGTGGGTTATATTTGTATTCCTACTCCCCCCCCCCACCCATCTTCTTTTATTTGAGGCTTCCGATAACTTTTATTTGAGTATGCATTTTCATTGATCATTTGATAAAAGGGAGGTGTTTCTTCACTTTTCTTAGCATCAGTAAGCAACCGTTTCACTCATTGACTGCCCATTTTTCTATCCCATTACAAAAAATTCCCTATTTCAGAAACCAGCAGCCCATTTTCTAGCTGTTAAATAGGTCATTTACAGATCAGTTGCCTGTTTGAGAATAGCGTTTTAGATTAAATTTTAAGGGTGTAGACTAACTTTGAAAACGCTAACGCTAAATACTAGCTGTAGATAGTATTTTCAAAACGCTAACGCTAACCTCTGACGCTATTCCCAAACAGACCCTAGATCAAGTTTTCTTTACAACAAAAAAATAGTATAATATTTCGTTATGTTTCTCTCAACACTATAACTCAATGCGTCCATTTCTTCTTTTACCAGATAGCCTCTCCCATAGTACTTTCTCAAGAGCCCCCCAACGGACGCCACCCCACAAACCCAAAAAAGGAACTCACCAAAAATCATTAACATTTAAACGAAATGTCTTGAAGGCTCAGTCTGTATATGTCCCCGAGGACGGGAACTAACATTTGGTACCCACAAGCAGAGATTGATAGGACAATTACCTGAAGGAAACAGAAGCACGGCGAAGAGACCACATTGGAACTGGAGATTTGAAGGGATTAAGAAAATTGACCGAAGAAAACTGTATAAACCCTAAACACGAATTTGCAATTACAGTTGAATACGAGCCCTCCGGATGAAAAAATAACGGAAATTGAACTGAACAATGATACGGAGTAGATATTAGATAACGTTCTTCAAGATAAAAATACCAACTAAACGTCATCCCAAAAACCCTCACAATTAGTTGAACCCTCACAATTAGTTGAACAATTAGTCGAAACTGGCAAAAAATGACCTGATCTATTTTTGACTCAAGTTCCGACCCAAAAATACTAAGTTTTAAACAAAGGTTTTGCTGATCGAACCCGAAGTTGACCGAACTTGAAATTACCCGTTAAAAATGGATCAAATCCAACCGAACCTGAACCCGACATGACCGACTCGCTAATATGAGAATGTTTCAAAATCATATGCTTAATATGTAATACAATGTTATAAGAATAAGATTTTAATTATATTTCTTTACTTTCTATTCATTTTTAATTTATAAATTTATATTATCATACAAAATTTTAATGATATCGCATAATTATCTTACTTTTTTAAAAATTTTCTGCATATTAAGTGTTTTATTTGTAATATTGATAATCTGTCATAAAAATTACTCATAATTTCAAAAAATAAATGAAAGTCATGACCCGTTGGGTCGACTCGAACCCGATGACATTGGATCATGAACATGTAGCTCTCAACCCAAACTTGAACTTAATTATCTGAACCCGAAGTAACCTGAATCCAAAGTGATCGAACCCGAACCCGACTTGACTAACCGTTTTGCCAGCTCTACAGTGAGAATATACAAGAGTTTATGCCCCAATGCCTCTCTAGTTTAACTATTTTATTCATAATTTTTTAATATAGTTTAAAATATTGATATTTTCATGTTTACCATCATGTAATTAAATAAACAAAAAAATTGTCTTATTCATATTAAAAAGTTGAAAAAAAAATAATGAGTGTAAATCATAAAATAATGAGATGAAAAACATAATTTATAAATTATAATTATAAACATAACAATTGTAATAATAATAATAATAATAATAATAATAATAATCACATTAAATATATATATATTGTTATTATAGTAATTGGTTGAGGAATAGAAATTGTTTGAAGAAGACAAGAATAGTCTGAAGAAATTGAAAGAAACTTGAAAAAACTGAAAGATTATAGTCTGTATTTTAGAGAGATATTTATAAACTAACATTGGTCTTAAAATTATTCTCTATCATTGCAATAATTAATTTAACCACGTATTCAGATTAGTTATAAATAAGCTTAAGCGAACACAATATACTTAAAAGTATGCACATACAAGAGATTCTAGATCCATAGTCCTTGGGTTACTCTTGAATTGTAAACACCCCCATATCCTCCATTTATTCCCTAAATGATCGAGATGCCTTTCATTTCTTTCACTTAAAAAATATTAAATCCAACAAAACAATAATTTAGGCCTACATACAAGGAAAATGTACTGTACCATATTAATTTAAATTCTAACATACCCAACAATAATAATATTAAGTACAATTTGGACGACAAATACATACACATCTAAAAAAAATATCGATTATTAATTACATCATATATGCAGATAGAGCATTATTTATAGCATTTTATCATCATAGGCAGAGGAGGCCATGGCAGTGTCAGTAATGCGGAGGCCAGTGTCGTAAACCTCTCCGCATTTCCAGTCCTCCGGCATCACCTTTGTCGCCCAGTACCACTTCCCCTCCATCCCCGCCGTCACCACCACCCGGAACTGCAGGGGCCCCGCTGGGACTCTGTTCGTTTCCCAAACTGCCCCTCCCTCGCCGCCGTTCGCTCTGTCCATGAAGTTCCAGTTCTGGGACCCGACCCGAGCCACGTCCACCGCAACGATCTCGGTCCGGGCGTCCAAGTTCAGGAACCGGATGGCGAGGTAGCTCGGGGACCGGCTCGACTCCTCCACGCGGATTGCCAGGGTGTCGCCGCCGGCATTTGAAGCAGAAGAAGTTGTTGTTGTTGTGGCGGAGCATGAGAGAGTGAGGAGGAGAAGAAGGAAATATGATTTGATGAGTGGGGAAATCATGTTTGAATTCATTGAAGGCAAGAAGAGAATGGAGAAGAGGACGATGGGGGGAATAATGGGAGTGGATTAGTATTTATAGTAGGGGATGTTTGCGCCTATTGTGAACCATTGCGTCCAAACTCCAAAAGACGCATGGCGCCCCACGTCATTTGCCTCTATTACTTTGTGACAGAAAAAAAAAACAAAGAACCAGTAATTTGACTAAAATACGCGCAAAGGGTTGAATCATCATGACGGGCTGTTTGTTTTAGCCTCTTAATGGTTCAGATGTCTAAATGGTTCAGCACTTAATGGTTCAGACTGTTTGTTTCAGCCTCTTAATGGTTCAGATGTCTGAATGGTTAAGAGATTTACCTGGTTTAGTATTATACAGAGTCTGAATGGTTAAGACCTCTTATCTGAATTGATCAGACATTTGCCTCTGAATAGTTAAGCAATATACTAGTTCTTAATGGTTCAGACCTCTTACTGGTTCAGCACTTAATGGTTCAGACCTCTTACTGGTTCAGCACTTACCCATTCAGAAGTTGCCAAACAGCCCCTAAGTAAGTATTTCTTTCTGTCAAAAAAATAAAATAAAAATAAAATAAAGTACAAGTATTTCTTTTCTTTTAAAAGAAATATAGTGTTAACCCAACTTGGCTATGATATATATAGTGTTAACCCAACTTGGCCAACAAGTAATCTAGGATCCATAATTCTATTCCTACTTGAACTAGAATATCTCGAGTAATCCTAATCCTACTCGATAATTAGTCAACAATCACCCCCCTAATTTTCGAGTTGGATTGCGGGTGATCTTCAACTCCAAGCATGTCTTCTTTATCTTGATTCTCCCGAGGCTCTTCATGATCCCTTGCAGTGTTCTTCGGGCTCCACTTAGCTTGAACAAACACTTGCTCCTTGCGATCATGACACATCCTTCCTTGGGTTAGAATCCTTTTCTTGACATCTCCTTTAAACTCTTGAACATTCTTCTTTGGACTTTGAATTTTGGGTTTCTCCATTAAACATGGATCTCCGAGAAGATTTTGACTCGTACTTCGCGTACCTTCTTTCAGTTGATCAACTCTTTGTAGATCCCTACCCACAAAATTCTTCATTCCAATCATGCTAACTTGTGTACTGGGACTTGCTATCTTGAGATTGATCTTGTACAAACGATTCTTGGTCCTTGTCACCTTCATCATAAGCTTCCCCGTGTCATCATGAATGGTTAGCAAATCACACTTCATGTGAATGTCGCATCCACCTTCCGTTGCTTGACCAAGGCTTATGATGTTGCTTTGTAGACTGGGTATGTAGTACACATCGGTCAACAAGCGCTGCTCCCCTGTTTTCCCTTCAAGTAATACAGAACCCTTTCCTCGTATGTCAATACAAGATCCATCTCCAAACTTCACCTTTCCCGTGACACGTTCATTAAGTTCAAAGAAGTAAGCTTGATTACCGGTCATGTGATTCGATGCTCCGTTGTCGAGATACCAAATATCTTTCTCCTTTGGTTCAACCTCGAAACGCTTAGGAATCACCCCTTCTTCATTTAAAAAGACATTCTCTTGATCACATCTCATCATGAACAAAGACGGATCCAGAACATCAATTTCAGCTAAATTAGCTTCCTCTTGTTTCTTCGTACGCTCCGGGCACACTGATGCAAAGTGACCGAATTTATCACATCGAAAACACTGAAGCTTTGATCTATCCTTTCTTCCCTTCTGACGATCATTGGTTCTTCTTTGACCCATTCGCTTTGACCCATGATCTTGACCATCTCGGCATTGACTTTCATCTTGGTCATCATCATCCTGGTCTTGGTCTCTTCCTCGACCTTGGTTGCATCGGCTTTGTCCTCTCGATCCGTTTTCTCCCCTTTGAGAATGAGAGCTTTCACCATTGGAGAATAATAGTTTACTCTGTGTTTCTATATCTTCTTCCTTGATTCGGTCTTCGTAAGCTTTCAACCGGCCTATGGTTTCTTGAAATCCTAGTTTATTCAAATCTAGAACTTGTTCCAACGAGGCGACTATATGAATGTATTTCGAACGAGGAAGAGACTTTAGAAACTTCTTTACCATCTTTTTCTCTTCGATCTCTTCTCCAAGGGCTACGGATTTTGAGGCCAAACTTGATAACTTCTCAGCAAATTCATCAATTGACTCTGAATAATTCATCTTCAAATTATCAAATTCCGCATTTAGGGTTTGGAGACGAGCTTCTCTAACCCTCTCAGCCCCCAAGTGACGAGTTTTGATTGCATCCCACAGATCCTTCGCAGTCTTCTCATTGCCTACTTGCAATATCAGATTTTCTAGAATTGATTGAAACAACAGTGCAGTTGCCATATCATTCTTCTCGGCATCAGCTGTGCCTGGTTCAATCGTTTCCCACACTTTATGAACCCTTAAGACAACTTTCATTCTCATGGCCCATACGGTGTAGTTTGTAGCGTTTAGCATGGGACATTGGACAGCTGTAAGTCCAACTCCCTTAACTTTCGGCTGTGGTGTTTCGGATTCTGTCATATTTTTCTTGCGTCGATTATACGTCAAGAGTGGTGTGACCGGATCCAGTACTTGAGTTTAGAGTAATTCAATTAAACCCTTTTGTCTACTAAACATACAACAGTGGCTTCCCTCTTGTTGCTGCGCGAGAATTCCTTCACGGTCTTCAACAACAGAATTGGGCGGCAGCCCAATCTAGATGGCGGCTCCTCACAGACCTTGATCGGAAACTCTTCTTCGCTCTGCTGTGGTACTTCAGATCTCCAGCCCGCACGATTCACAAACCAGAACCTCCGATGTTTTTTTTTTAATTTGTGCTCCGATACCAATTGTTGGAAACAATTTCTTTATTATAACTGGAAAATTATTCAAAACCAATTACAATAAACTTTCATATGTTTCTCATATGACTCTCATATCAAAACCCAAGGCTTGGCTATGATATATATAGTATTAACCCAACTTGGCCAACAAGTAATCTAGGATCCATAATTCTATTCCTACTTGAACTAGAATATCTCGAGTAATCCTAATCCTACTCGATAATTAGTCAACATTACCAGCCCTTGTTCCGCACTGGCCCAACTCATTCCTGCTTGAAAGGTCCCTATACATTCCAACATGTGTACAGATAGTCCCTCCGGTGATCTTTTCGGTCAAAACTTAAGCATATCGTTTATTTTTCTTTTAAAAAACTACTCCGTATTATTTAATTTCATTTTTGCCCTTCACTTACTAAATCCCTATATTTTCAAAAGTTCACCCTGGATCCCTATACATCTTGAGTCAAACTAAGTATATTTTGTATTTTTTCAAAAAATTGAAAAGGGATAAAATATTGCTCTTTAAAAATATATGGTATGCCAGAAACTTGGACAAAAAAATTGCAGGAATGACTACTTATGCACCAGTCAAGAAGTATAGGGATCTAGGGAATAAATATTTTTTAATGAAAAAAGGACGGCATGCGATTTTTTGTCAGAATAGTCACCGAATAGACTATCTGTGCACCTGTTGGAAAGTATTTTGACATGCCAAGCACTAAAAATAATTTAGGAATCTCAGGAGCACTTCTGAAACAATATAGGAACTGAGTAAGACTTTTTCGTTCTCCATTCAAAGAAGAGGAAGCGCTTCAAACTCTATGTTTTTTCTTTTTAAATTTTTTTCTCTTCATTTTTCTCGTAATATTAACACAATAAAACAAGTGCAGAGATGAATATTTTTATATTTCCAAGACACGAACCAATTATTTTAGTTTTTTGACTTGTGAAATGAGCTAAAGTTGATCAAACAATGAAAGAAATTGGTCTAGCTTTCTGCTCTGTACTTTCTATAGGGCATAGCCGCATAGGCTTTAGTGTGAACTCAATAAACACTCCTTTATTTGAAAACAACTTTTGGACTAGAGTTACTCTTTTAAATAAAATTTTAATAATGTAGATCAATTTTAAAAACACTAAAGCTAAAAGCTATCATTATACTCCTTCCATTCCTGAGTGTTTGTCCACTTTCATTTTTGCACACCATCCAATGCACTTCTTTAATCCATTTTATCTTGTAATTTGTATATTAAAAAATTATAAAAATTTTATATTAATAATCTATATGTTAAGACGAATCAAACAAGATCACACATGACTGTTTTTAGACTTACACATTCAGAGAATTTGATGAGTCAAAGTGCTTAGGTGAACAGTTCCAAAAGTCAAAAGTGGACAAACACTCAGGGACGGACCAAGTATAACTTTTTAAAATTCTAACGTCAAATTCTAACAATGTTGCTCAACCAAGCCTCAATTGATTAGCGACTAATACCCTGGTCTTTTTTGTTAGAATTTCAAACTTGGACGTTGGAATACATAAAGAGTTGTAAAAAACTGGAAAGAGTTGAAAAACGTTGGAAGAATTTATGTGTTAAAAAGTACCCGATTAAATGATCATCCAAATAAATATGTAAAAAAATTCTAATATTGGATAAAAAAGTGGAAGAAGTTGAAAGGAACTAGAAAGAATTACAAAAAATGGGAAAAATTGAAAGTCGAAAATTAATTTTTCTAACCCAAAGAAATAGAGCAAACTACAGAGTTTGTTATCTTCAACTTATTATTTTTACTAAATATTTACTTCCGTGTACTTTTTAAAAAATCAGATTAGAAACTTGATCAAATTTGAGGGTGATTTCCCAATATGTGTAAATAGGGTGTAACTCATTCCTTTATATGCTCTTTTATTTTGTACTTTCCCAAATAAAACCTACCGGAGTAGGCTACTCCGTTTCATCTTTTATTATTTATTGAAACGGAGTAGGCTACTTTGTTTTTGTTTTGATAAATTTTCTTTATTATTTCCTCACCTTCCCTTTTTTGTTCCCATGGGCCATGACATTTGCTTTAAATTTTTTTTGTTTAAATAGTTTTAGTGACTTGTAAATAAATTATAAAACTTAAAAAAATTTCTTTATCATTAAAATATTTTTGTTCATAAAATATATTTTTGATAATTTTCTTTATCATTAAATAAAATATACTCCATACTATAATTAAATTTAAAACTAAAACTACTATTTATTAACTTTAAGTGAACTTTATACAATTTTGATATTATTCAGTCTTATCAACATATTTTATTCAATTCATGATATTATTCCAGTTCCTTCCAGTTTCTTGCAGTTCATTCTAGTTTCTTCTAGTTTCTTCCAGTTCTTCCAGTTTCTTCCAACTTTTCTCATTTTCTTCAAATTCTTTCTACTCCTCAACCAATTACTCTAAAAANTTATTATTATTATTATTATTATTATTATTATTGGCATTGGCCTTAGTATCTCGTACTCTAGAGTAGGCCATTCAGACTCATCTGGAAGCGGCATTATGATGCCATAGTAAGCGTTGATGTAGGACTGACTATTCGCAAGTGGTTATTCAACTTTTGCAATGACATAATCAGTTGCGTTAACTCTGTTGCTAAAATAATTAAAACTAAAAAAACTAAAAAAGTAATTGAAACTAAGAATAAGAAATTAAAAATGGTTTAAAAAACTTTTAAAAAACTAATTGAAACTGAAAAATAAATGAGCGGTTTATTTGAAAAATAACTTGACCACCCTTTAACTCATCATTTCATAAAATAAGATAGTCACGTCATCTCGTGTTTTGTAAAATTCTTTATCAAAGTTTTTACTATATAAATTTTAATTTTCAATTCTACACTTAACAATCAAATAAATTAAATCGAAAATAAAGCCCGCCAAATTTCATAATGCGTATAATAGGAAAATCTCTTTTGAACAGAGAGAGTAAAATGTACCTTGTAGTATATTACTCCCTCCGTCCAAAAAAGATCTACCCGTTGCATTTTTTGCACATCTCATAAAACACTCTTATGCATATCTAAAATTTCTAAAATTTATCACATTTACCCTTTATTGCGGGTAGAAGTTGTTTTAAATTTTTTTTGGCATTTGAGACGAGATAAAAGTATTTTATGATATGCGCAAAAAATGAAATGGGTAGATCTTTTTGGGACGGTGGGAGTATAATTTAGAGTATATTTTTTTAATTTAAAATAAATGTGTTGAAAAAGTTAAAGTGAAAAAAAGAAAGTAAAAAAATTCAATTTTTTTAAAAACTAAAAAACATAAAGAGCACTAAAGAACTAAGAAAGCAAACAGATTACTTTACTCCGTAAGCTTTGTTTTTAATTGGGACGGACTAACTAACTCCGTCTATACATTTAATTAAAAAAAAAGAATTGGAACGGAGTAGGGAACTCCGGATGACACTGGGAGGAAATAATTTCCTGACTTACCCTGCCAGGAACGGAATTAATTTTTTTTTTTTACATATATAGGGCATTTTGAAACAACTTTTTTTCGTAAAATATAACTACAATAATAATTTCTCATTCACTTGTAAGTTCCAATAATAATTCAGAAATGCTCCGTATGTTTTTGTTGTAGACTGGGAGGCTATTCGCAGCACCTAGGTGTTCGTCGAGCTAACTGAGAAGAACAATGGATCGGCGCAGCCAAGTGGCGCCTCACCTCGAGCCATGGCGGAGCCTCGGCCACAAGGTTGTGCTGGTCACCGGAGCCTCGTCGGGGTTGGGACGAGAGTTCTGCCTCGATTTGGCCATAGCCGGCTGCAGAATCGTCGCCGCGGCGCGCCGAATCCATCTGCTTGAATCTCTCTGCCACGAGATAAACCGGACCGGGTCCGTGGAGCCGAACTCCGGCCTGCCGACACGAGCGGTTGCGGTGGAGCTGGACGTGAGCGCGACTGGGACTGCCATTGACGCGGCTGTGCAGAGGGCTTGGGATGCGTTTGGCCGGATCGATGTCTTGATTAACAACGCCGGCATTAGAGGTAATTCAGTAATTTCATGGTTCGTCTTCCCTGTTTCCAATTTCGCCAGCAATTCTGATCAATTTGAAGTTACTGATAAAATTTCTACAGATTTTGGGCGGCCAAAGAATTGCTTTTAACAATAATATCACAAGAAGAAATTATTTTAAGAATTTAGTGTAATTTATTGAAATACTCTAGCTTCTAAATTGGCGAGCCTCAGCTTGAATGATAAATCCATGGCACCTAAAAGTATACCTTCTCGAGATGGGCCTCGAACCGGCTCGAAGTGATCTTCACCTCCACCTCCAACTTAGTGGATACCCTGCTAAAACTGCACTTCATGTACTCAGTTTGAATCCCTTAGGGTTTGCCTTTACACTTCCAACCTATCATTAACTTTCTCACGCATCTCGCCCATCATAACTTTCGAACTTGGGTTGCCAGCGAGAGTCAAAACTGGCGCGTCCTTTGAACCACATGCAATGCTAGTTACATCAATATAATAGGAGTTTATTATATGCTCCAAAATTTAATCTTATTACAATCCTAATACCTATAGGGACTCGCATCGGAGACCGTAGGGTTCTGGGTCCTATGGCTCTGCCAAGGAACTTCCGAGGAATGTAGCAGAAAGTTATCCAAAGAATATTAAAAAACGAGTTAGAACAGTCCTTCGATGCAACTCCATCTCAACTGTGACGCCATCGTACATGCCCTTAATTGCTCTAATGAACACTATCGTCACCCCTTTTGCTCCAAGCATTGCCGAGGACATCTCAAGGGGCTTTGTCAAACTGTTGTATGCCTTCTCTCGATTCATAGACACCATGTGAAAGTCCATCTTCCCATCCCTGTACCGCTCCTTCAACCTCCCCAAAATATGAATAGCCTCTCCAGCCAATCACATTCACACTGACATTAATCCAAAATAGTAACATCCTTTCTCAACCTCTTCTCTACTACACATTCATTGGCATTTTATGAACACACGTATTGGCATTTTTTACAATTGAAGATACTATAGTTCATTGTCATTTTTCTCAGTGCATCGCACTCCATTTTAGTCCGGCCATTAAGATTTGAGTCTAATAATTGCTCACAGGCAGAAAGAATTGAAGGATTTTCAATCCAGGATGGAAGTAAAAGATGAAAAAAAGAAGTCATATTTGTATTAACATGTAGAATAAATTTTACTCCCTCCGTCCCAAAAAGATTTACACGTTTCAAAAAAATTGCGTCCCATAATCCCTTACCCATTTCTATTAAAAAACCACTTTTACCCCTTACTTTTTCAAATCCTACCTATCACATCATATCTTTTTCCTAATAATCTACACATCACATCCTACTTTTACACATCACATCAAGGGTATTTTTGGAAAGTCAATACAAAATTATCCCTCCCTTAATTTCAACTTTAGTCAAAATGGGTAACACTTTATGGGACGGAGGGAGTATTTACTTAGGCCCCGTTTGGCATCTGCATTAGAGATTAGCGTTAGCGTTTTGAAAAGACTATCCGACGGTAGCCTTTAGCGATAGCATTTTCAGAATTAATCGACACCGTTAAAATTTTATCCAAAATGCTAACGCTAATAAAAAACGTTGTTCCCAAACAAGGCCTTAATCATCTAAGTTCATTAAATTTGACTGAAAAAAGTCGAATGAGACTATTACTCTGGGACGGAGGAAGTTTCTCTATATTTCATTACACAGAAATATGCCATTAGACCATGATTCTTTTGAAAAAAATGAGTAGTTAATGGTTTCGTAAGGCAAGAATTGTGACTATGTGATCTTCAATCAAATCGTAGGAAGGGTACACAGTACATTGGATGCAACCGAGGAGGAATGGGATAACCTCATTAGAACAAACTTAACAGGCACATGGCTTGTGACAAAATCTGTGTGCCTGCGCATGTGCAATGCAAAACAAGGAGGGTCTGTCATCAATATCTCTTCAACTGCTGGTCTTAACCGCACACTATTACCCGGGAATCTTGCTTATGGTTGTTCAAAGGCGGCTGTCAACACGATGACGCAGGTAGATCAATATCGCTTTTCAGCCTAGTTGACTAATACTGCTCGCCATTTGGATTTATACACGAATTTTACTTAAAACTGAAATATTATTTTGTATATTCATATCCAAGGAGAGAGCTGTGTTGTGTTTTTTCGTTGGTCCTTCTGCTGGAGCAATTTTGTTTTGGAATTCATGTTGTCCTCATAAAACGACCATATTGCTTTCTTGATTTTCTTCCGTTTTTGCAATGCTCTGGTCACATTTCCCCTTAAAAATCCGAAATGTAAACAGGTGATGGCACTTGAACTGGGAAAGCACCAGATAAGAGTAAACTCAATATCTCCTGGAATTTTCAAGTCTGAGATAACGGAGAAGCTCCTGGAAAGAGATTGGCTTAAGAATGTTGTTTTGAGGACTGTACCTCTGAGAACATTTGGCACATCAGACCCAGCTCTAACATCACTGGTACGATACCTAATTCACGACTCGTCTCAATATGTAACGGGCAACTGTTATATCGTTGCTGCTGGAGCTACCTTGCCTGGAGTCCCCATTTTCTCCTCTCTTTGAAACAAACATGCCAATTTGTTGGACATTGTAAATAATGAATGCTCTCTTAAAAAAGACTGGAATCTTTGTATATCTACAATTGGCTTTTTGTGTTGTACATTATTTTCCAAGGCAAACTTAATTGTAGAAGTTTTTGCATTATAAGATTACAATGGCATGATCACCGAATGGGAGTTTTTTTTTTCAATCTTATCATTCCCCGCTAGCGTTTGCTTTGTGCTCTCAAGTTGTTTGGTACTCTTTGCATCATCTTGTCCAATTTAGCCTATAAAATTCTTTTTTTTTTTTAGAAAATAGCTACTCAGTACTCCCCTGCCTTCAAAATGGTTCCAGTCACGATTTGTCATGTTTTATTAAAATTATTTTGAATTTAATTTCTTTTAGAATTGGAGCAAAATTTTAAAATAAAAAATAAAAACGCAATTCAATGTTCTATGAAACAAGAATGGACTTGGGTTTTTTTTTATTTTATTTTATTAACCGATCATCAAAAATATGTGAAAACAATATTGTTCGACTCTAAGAACATTTAAGTGATTTTTGGGACGAAAGAGTAGAGTTTACTCTAAATTACTTTTGTGTATTATATTAAAATAAACTTCATAGTTTGGCTTCATGTATTAAACACGCATTATTTAAAAAAAATAAAAAAGTGTATTGTCCAAATTTGTTAGAGGCAAGAAAAGAAAATGACTGTGAGCCGCTTATATGATGAGTACTACGTACTCCCTCTGGCCCTAAATAGATTACAAATTGCGGGTTACGAAGTGAAATTTCTTACTTTTTGAAATCATTTTATTTACAAATTTGTATATCAATAAGATATAAAAATTACATATTAAAAAACTACGTCAAAAGTTCTACAAAACAATAGGTGACCAGAATATTTTATTTTATCAAATACTTAATAAAATCGCGTAAACAAACAAAAGTTATCAAGACGAGAGAAAAAAATTGTAGTCTATTTAGAAACGGAGGGAGTATATAACAACAGAGTTGGAAAAGTAAAGTTGGAACCCAAGGAGCCCAATCTAGAGTTTCTTATGCTTGATTATCTGGTGGGTTTCTGTCCCTCCAGAAATTATTTGTAATGCTTTCCACTATGATGTTATCATTTAATTGCAAGTTCCTTTCAAAAAATTCATCTGTATGCCTTTAGCTTAGTAATAATACTCCGTATATAAATATTACTCCCCCGTTCCAAGTTATAATGTCTGTTTTCCTTTTTCGTCCGTCTCAAAATGATATGCATGTTTTCTTATTTTGTATGATTATTTATGTTGACTTCCCAAAATACCTTCCCATGTAATTACTCCTACCCACCTTAAGAAAATAAAGTGAGGGGCAATTTTGGAAACTTAACTTTAGTTTTTTTCTTCCTTAAATATGGCCTAAAGTCAAAATAAGCGTTATAAAATGGGATGGAAGGGTAAGACTTAATTATGTATCAACAGCACGATTTGGAGAGGCTGTCAAGTGTCAACATGCTCCCTATACATCAATGTTGACTAAAATAATTAATGGAAAACCAATGACATTAAAGGTGTCTAGAAAAATGCCAAATAAGCGTGACATGTGTCATCTTCCTAGAGAATGGTGTCTCAAATTTCATGCTTCCTCCGTTCCAAAATATTATATACTTTGTGTAAAATAAAGTGAATTCTTAATTTTTTCTAATTTATTTTATTTGCAGATTGATACAGAAATAAAAAAACTTATATACGGAGTATTTAAGAACAATGTCAAAATTACAAAAAGCAAGAAGCAATACAAATATTTTATTTTTTATCAAAAAATAATTAAAAATATACGGCAATAAACAACAAAAAAGTCTTATCCACTAAGAAATCATTGAAAATATACAAATAAAGAAAATTTAGTGTTAGTTTGGAATAGTGCAGAGTGCAATTTTACAAAAACGAAAACCCCACCATTTAGTTTATGTATTTAAAGAAAAAGAGTGAAGTAAAAGAGCTTTAAAAATAAATAAATAATAATACTCGCAATTTCAAGCTTACGATATTCCACGTCAGATTATAATATACGAATTACGGAATCTTCATCCGATAAGTGATCAAAGTATTTTAGTCTTTAAAATATTTAAATCGCTCAGTTTTTAGTCTTTCACATCTTTTTAACATTTTATCAATCTTGTTTATTCTTGTGAAGTCAAAAAAATCTAGAATGGAGGAAACTATAATATATAGGCTAGTACTCTCCCCGCGGGGCATTGTTCAAGTGATAAATAGGGGGTGTGAAATGACCTAATGTCTAGTCGACTCGTAGCCAGTGTTTTGGAAACCGGATCGCCCAGTCCAACCGGTTGGACTGCGACCCAAACATGAATGCGATCCGTTTTGATGGGTAAACCAACTTTTCAATCAACCCGTCCAAACCTGTCGGATCTGGAGAACCGGGTGACCCAGACCGCCCGGTCCAACCAGTTGAACCGTGACCCATACACGAATTCGATCTTGTTCGATGGATAAACCAGCTTTCTGATTGACCCGCTCAAACCCATTAGACCCAAACAACCGGGTGACTTGAGTCGATCTGGCCAGATCACGAGTTTGGGCCAAAAGCTACTTTTTATTAAATTTTTAATGTTTAGAAATTGAAAGCGAAGGTGATCAATAGGGGGTTGTTCAAGTTGGGCATGGTTCAATAAGCTAATACTCTGCCCGAGGGACGTTGTTCCAGTGATCAATAGGGGATTGGAAATGACGTAATGGCCCGTCAGCTCCTAGGCGTCCTAGCGAAGACAAGTGTGGGATATTATGTTCTTCATAAATATTATTTGTTAGGACTAAAGACAAATTTCATTCCTTATTATTGACTTAAAATCAGAATTTCATTTACTTTTCTCAGATATACTTTTCCAGGCCTGAGGGGCCCTCGGCCTCAGGGATAGGGAGTATAAGCTAGTACTCCACGAAATATTCATGATATATATCTAGGACCGTGCTACAGTGCACCCACCCCTGCCTTCATTGCTGCCTCCCTATTTAAGATGTTTTTTTTACTTTTTCTTTTTTTTCATTCCTCCCTCCGGCTCTGCTCTTCTACGCCAGTCAGCCGCGCACGACCTCCTCTCCCTTCTGCGTTCTCCTTCATACAAGGAAGGTAATATCTTTTTTTTCTTATCTTCCTCTTCATATCAAATTCAGATATCCATAAATTGAAAATTGCAAATTGCAGATCAGATCGATTCTTCATCGATCGGACACACAAATTGCAAATTGGAGTGGCGACCCAGC